TGTATGTCGGCCTCGTACTGACTCAGCTCAGCTCGAGACTGAGAAAATACTTCCCGATGAAGCACGGAGGCCTACGCAGAAAGAAGAAAAGAAGTTAGACAGGAAGAGAAAAATGAACACAAGGGTAATACTAATAAGGGGAGTTAAGGCTTACCCGATTCAGAGCTTACTGCGCTTCGTTGAAAAGGCTCAATGCCTCGCCCGAGTCCTTCCTCGAGACCTCCAAGTCGCTCAAGTCAGTAGCATCTTTGACCCCACTAAAGTAATCACGGAAGGGGTCCTCCCTTCCGTAGGCCCCTTCGATGGAGGGGGTCTTCAAGGTCCGAGCCTCTTGAATCATCTCCTCAAAAAACGAGGGGATCAGCGGGGAGCCTCTAATTTCTATTGCCCCAAGTGGATCACTTGGGGCGTTCTCTCCATCTCGAGGGGCCTCAAGACCAGCCCCTACAGCCGTACCTACTCTTGGCTCATTATGGTGGGAGGCATCTTCAATCCTCGATGACTCGGGGACTTCGCCTAAGTCTCTCTTCCCGAGACTCCCTCACTCGAGATGGAGTCTCTGCAGCCTCGGAGGTTGAGGTCTTTTTTCTCTTTTTGTCCTTCGTCGGTTTCGGTGCCGGGATCGAAGTCTCCTCCTCTCCAGATAGGGGCCTCATGACAGCATATTTGCCAAGGCCTATATGAAAGGAAATTAAGTAAGAAACGCTTTAACAAAATCATCAAAGACGTGGAAAGGGGGCTTACCATGATGGCCTCCCATCGGCCCTTGGATAAATCGCTCCATGAGCGCTTGGCGTGCGTAGAGGTCAAGGCCAGGTCTCGAACCCAGCTCTCGAGGTTAGGAATTACACCGGACATTCAAGCGACCGCTACATCATGGAAAAGGATATTGATGAGAAGAAGCAAATGAGCAAAACAATAAATAGGAGCTAACAGTGGGATTGTACTTACGCTTCATATTCCATTTCTCGGAAAATGGCATCTTCGCGGTCGGTATTAGGTCGGAAGTCCTCACTCAAATGAACCGGCCCATCCAGCCTCGGTCCTTGTCATCATCTATGCTAGAGAACAATACCTCGGTAGCCCGACGCTGATGTTTTATTAACCCGCCTCGAAAGAGAAGGGGGCTATACAACCTGATGAGATGGTCGAGAGTGAAATGCACCCCCTCGACTTTGCTCACGAAAACTTAGAGCAGAATAAGAATCCGCCAAAAAGAGGGATGGATTTGACCTAGGGTTGTTTGATAATTGCGGCAGAAATCGACGATAATGGGATCGAGGGGGCCCAGCGTGAAAGGGTAAGTGTAAACACTCAGAAACCCTTCCACGTGGGTAGTGATGTCTTCCCCGGGGGCCGGAATCACCACCTCTTTGCCTTCCCAGTTGCAGTCTTTCTTCAACTGCTTAAGGAAGCTCTCAGTTATCGAGCATATATACCTCGACATTGGCTCGCATAGACCAGGGACCAACGAAGTTTTGTCGGTCTTAAAGTTGGAAGTGAGGACGGACCTCCCGGGAACACACTCCTCAGGTCTGTGTTTTGTCGCTGGCCGGCCGCGATGAAGAAGCGCTTTCCTTTTGAGAAACAATTTTTGATGTTTTCATAATTTGGATTTGAAGTTAAAAATAGATGGAGATGATAAGATTTAGTGTTCTAAGAAGAGGTTAGCAGTGAACATCGTAGATTTGCAGATGAAGAACTTAGAAGATGTAAAAAGCTTTGGAGATTAGAAAAGGTTGAAGATAAAGTTTGAAAGAGTGTAAAAAGAGGCCTATTTATGGGATTCACGTTGACAGTTCAAGGGCACTAGTGGCCGACCACCAACTGATACACATTAATAACTTGGGTAATTGTACCGACGGGACGTTTCGGTCACTTTCGTCACTTACGTCACGACGGTGACGTCATGGCAGGTCAACGTAAAAATCGAAGGCTCAATTCGTTTCTTGTCATTACACTCCAAAGAATGAGGGGGCTATCTATATACGGTTAAAATCGAGCCCACCTAATTTTTCTATCTGACCCGGACTAGGGAGCTGCATCGAAGGTCGGCCCCGTAGTGGATCAGACCAAGGTACGAGGACAAGGTATCAAGTTCGGGATTCGAGGTACCTGTCGAGATCGAGGACAGCAGCGATCGAGGCCGAATGAGACATGCATCGAGCAAGATCGAAGATAACATAATAACAGAAAGGCGAAATATCCGTGACTAGTCGAAGATCATGGCGGAAATCTCGGAACGGATCAAATTAGGAATGATTAATTGGCTAATCATGAGATTTTCTTCTGTAATTAGAGTTATACCATAAGTAGAATTCCTTTACTATATAAAGGGGAGTATTAACCATTTGTAAGATATATTGTTCTCGCATAAAAAAGCCAATATAACGCTCTCTCTTTAGCTTATACTCTCTTGTTCATCAGCTTGCTTTATTTTTAACTGTTTTAGTATCAATCAGTTCGAGGGCACCCTAGTTCGAGGGTTGAATTCCGTTTCAACACTGGTTCGCTTTACTTTATAGTTCATTTCTGTTATTAATCTTCACATTTATCAATTGGTATTAGGTGCAATTACGTGTCCTTAAAACCACATTATAAGTTTAATTGTTATCCAATTTTAAGGGTAAACACATACCTAACTTTTTTTTAAAAACAAGCACTAAATACGAATTGAAAAGGACATTCCGAGTTTTGTTTGAGAACTCAAATTTGAAAACAAGCAGTTGTTAGGACATCCTAATCCATGTTTTAAAAAGTTTGAGAACGTTTGTTTGAAATATGTTTTGCACTTTTCTAAGAAAATTTAGAAGGTGCGACTTTAAAGGACTGTTTCTTGCCTTTGATCCGACATGAGCAAATTAGGACATCACACATAACAATTATCACACCAACTCTTTACATCAAACCATATTCATTTACTATAGTTATGTGATTTAATGAGATTAGAATGCATATTAACTAAGAATGGCCAAATGTCATATATATATATATNGGAATTCTGATCCCTAATTTTACCATAGTCTCATCATTAAGACAGCATTCTCCTTATGTAGTCCTAATTAAGTCGTTGAACATCAGTAAACTATCACTTGTAGACATTTGATTTATTTATTTTTCACCTGTAGACATTTGATTTGAAAAGGAAAAGCAAAGGTCAAATAACAACAACAACAAACCTGGTATAATTTTACGATTAGGATTTCAGGAGGGTAGTGTGTACGTAACCTTACCTTCTACGTTCTGAAGGTATAGGGGTTGTTTCCAATAGACCATCGGCTCAGGAAAAAGCAAAGTCACAGCGTAGTCGAAAAGAAATATAACAACAAATAAACTACGAAAATAAAACAGAAACACAAAACAATATCAACAACAACAAGATAACAAGAAAACACAAGCAACAAAATAACTGGTAATAATACAAATCTAAGTATAAGGAAGTACGAGAGTGCTATACATACTACAGGGAAGACAATGATAAACTCGCGACTAGCTACTAGCCTTCGACCCTAGTTGTCGACATCCACACCTTCTTAATCAGAGTCGTGTCCTCAATAAGCTGCAGATGTGCCATGTCATGCCTTATTACCTCTCCCCAATACTTTGGCCTGCCTCTCCGTCTCCTCAGACCCTCCAATGCCAACGTCTCGCACTACCTCACTGGGGTATCTTGACATCTCCTTTTTATATGTCTGAATCATCTTAGTCTTACTTCCCGCAACTTGTTTACCACAGAAGTCACTCTATCATGTCCCGAATATCTTGCCTTTTCTCTATTTTTGTTTTCTTATTTTTCATCATTTCATTTCTGATTATCTTTATAAAGTTGGCACCGTTTGTAAGTTACATATCTAAACTCTAAAGTATCGGGTGTTCCTTATTTATTGGTGTTCTCTGTGCCATAGGTGTAATGAATATTTAAATTGACGATAAGAGACTAAGTTCCAGTTTGGCCATAAGATTTGGGAGCTTTTTGTCGGATTTTATTTTTAAATATCTATTTCTTTATGGATTTTAACTATTTTTTGACATATTTTAAAAACAAAATTTTCAAATCTCAAAAACAACTTTAGAGTAGTTTTTGACTCACAAAATTTAATTTCAAATTCTTTGTAAGTAAAATGCATGTCCAGACACAATTGTAACTTTTAAAAATTATTTTTTATCGCATCTTTAAAATCTCGTTTTTCCAAGTTTCAACCAAATTTATGTCCAAATGCTAGCTAATAAAACATTCAAACATTCATTTTTTTTTATTCAATTTGTTTTCTTTTGGTTTTGAAAGGACTACACCTCCCCTGGCTCCCGTCCTCACCAACTCAAGAAGTCCTACTTAAACCGTGGGTGTTGGACCCAATATTATTTGTACCAACAGTTTTCAGCATCAATAGGAGATGGTTAGCGTCAACAACCAGCTTTGCTGTGATATCAATGTTACAGTTGTGCACAACCTGCAGAGAGGAAACTCATCATCAAACATCATCCCACGTAGAAAATCGAATTTTTATTCATAGGGATATTTGGATTATTTATTCCATGATTAATAATAAAGAGATTGTTATGCAGTGATGATTATGAGAATATTATTATGCATAAAAAAGTAGTATTTTTGTCTTTAAATAGTTTAGTCTCTTCATTGCTAATACACTTATATTATTTAATAAGTCAACCAGACATCGCATTAGTTTATAGGATAATCAATTTTTGCATGAAGCCAACCAAAACGTTGTATTATCTTATATGTTACAATTAATTAATCGAGGTCATAAATCAAACTACCCTTAGTACCAATATTTTTTACATTATCAGTATATTTTAATCTATTGTATTACTAGCCCGTCTTATTTTTTAGGTTGCTAATTTCCTTTTTTATGCACAATTACATATAATTATCTTTTAGATATATAATTTAATAGTAAAAAATTTCTGTAAATATATAGTAGAAATTAAACTAAAAGAAAAAACAAACAAACAAGCAAAAGAGAATATAACATTCAAAATGACAATGTAGTATTCTTCTATTACTACAAGTTGTAGGTTTATTACAACCACCCCAATTCTAAATTCCTACTAAGTATTTGCCTGACTGCTCATTCAGTACTCCAGACTGTACCAAAAAACCCAACCCTACTCATTAACACCCATGCAACAACAATAACAAAAAAAAATCTAGTGACATCCCACAAGTGGTTATGTAAAAGGTAGCGTCAGACACCCTTACTCCAATCTTGTGAAAGTAGAAAGCTATCTATGATAGATCCATTAATTAACAGTACCCATGCAAAACTTACAATTACAGCAATTAACCTTTCGATCCAATCCCAAAACCCTGCAAACAAACTTGCAGTGCTCTAAAACTTGTGTGTGATAATAGCTGACTTGAACTTGTTTGGAATTAAAGCGGAGTTATTTACATGATAGAACAAGCATTAGGGTTGTCATCACTGAACATGTTGATATAGGCAGGGTCCTCATATCTTGCAACTGTTCCAGTAGTTGGGTTGTTGTGATCAACTCTTCTGACATAACCAGGTGGTGCTTTCTTGTCATAAGCTGCTGCAGCATAGGGCTGAGACACCAAATTGTAAGGGACATAAGGCCATATCTCTGCCTTCTTCCCTGTTGACTTTGCCTTCTTTAACACCTTGTTTGCTTCCACATACCCTGTTACTGTCACCTTCTGTTGTTTCCTGTTTATCTCCACAGACTTCACTCCTGCAAATATAACCAAAACCAAAATATATCACCTTGTTTTCATAGGAAGTTTATAAAAAATGAAGCTACGTACATAGAAACTGTATTACTTTTTAATGGTGCAGGACATTTTGGAAAAAGATTATGGTACTTACCACTCAAGGAAGAAAGAGCTTTCTTGACTTTAAGTTCACAGCCATCACAATCCATTCTGACTTTGAGCTCCACTGTATTAAACTGCTTCTTCTTCTTTTTGGGCTTATCACTGCTCATGATATCAGAAATATACTCCAAAGTTCCTCCTAAACCCATTTTTCTTTTCTCTCTTTATGCAAATATATATCTAAGAAACACAACTTTAATTTAGAGGAAGAAAGTGAAAAACAGAAACTTTGAACCTTTTCTGAGGAAAGAAAGTGGGATAATTATGAGTTAATTTATATTCAATAGATTTTGATGAAATGGAAGACTTTGTAAGAAACTTCCCTTGGATTCTTTCCTTTGCTTTAGAACAGGCTTAAGGACAAAAGGAAGAAAGCAAAAAGGCTGCTCTCTCTACAAACAAAAACTTTTCTTTTTTGCTTCCTTTGATGAGATCTTTCTTTACACAGGCCTACTTCTCTTTTTATAGGCGTTTTCTTTTCTCCAACACTGTTTAAAAAGAGAAGGATGGCCCCCCATTAGACACCACGAAATTAATAGTATGAGCTTGGTTTTTTAAAAGAGTTTAGTACTTGACGTCAATCAGTAAATATACACGAGCTCAGTAGTTTGGTACGCGAACTAAATTATTTCGGAATATTCCAGGTTTAATTTATATTACATGAGAGATAAGATAAAATAATCTCATATTTAAAAGGGTAAGGTAAGATATGTAGGATTAAATTTATACCTTGTTTAGTTATACCTCAAACCAAACAGAGTATAAATTTATACTCTTATGACACTTTATAAGAGTACTAGAAGAATATTAAATACTGTAATTGGCTATTAAGATATGAACGGTAATACTTAATGGGGAAGAAACAATTTGGGGTAAATGAGAGAAGGTCAAAACTAAAGATGCACACAGTAATAATGAGCCACTAGGGGTCGTTTGGATCGTAGACAAATACATGGATTAGCAATGCCAAAATTAATAGTGTGATTATCTCTTGTTGGGTGTTTGGTTTATTATACTAAAATTGAGTATACAAAGTATCATCTAAATTATTTGTTAGTTTTTAAACTAAAAAATAATGAACTTATAATTGTACCGTAAGATATTTTGTCAAAAAGATAATTTTGTCATTTTGGTCCATATATAGCTTATATATGGATTAGTTATTTCTCGTTGATAGAGGGATAAGATAATACAACACTTGGTGCATATATATATATATATGGATTAATTATCTTACATTTGAAATCACAATCAAACAATGTATTAACTCAATACAAATTCTTATATAATGATTAATTGCTATACAGCATCCCAAACGACTCCTAAGAGTGTGACTATATCAAATAGTGTGTGTGGTTTTTTCTTTTTTATTTTTTTGTATCAAGAGTTAATTTGAAGAAAACTACTGTATGAGAGACTGTTGTTAATTTGAAAAAATAGACCTTGGATGGAAGGTGCAAGAGTGTGGGCCACGTTAAAAAAGAAACCCACCAATAATAGAGAGAGTAGCTTCTACGTGTTTCGACGAATATGCAGCCTTAACACGTGTCCATTTCTGTTGAATACAACCGTCAATATAGGGGAAGACTAGAAGGGGGAGCTGGTTTCAATTTGTTTTCTTTTTTGTTTTTTGATTGAAATAAAGGAGTTGTTAGGAGTTGATTTTGACGTGTGTGAGTTGTATTTGTGCTTTATTTTGGGAGCCTAATGGCGCGTCGTCTATTCTATGCTTAAAGAATTGAAGCGCATCGGGTATTTTTCTAAAAAAAGCAAGATTAGATACGAAATTTTAGAAGAAAAAAAAATTGGTATAAACAAATATTAAAATTTATGTGATTATAAATTATTTCTTTAATGAAAAAATAAATCAAAAAGAAATATTCTTTTTAAATATAAAAATACAATAACTTTTTTAAGCAAATTAAAAAAATAATAGTGTCACAAAAATTGAAACAAAGTGAGTAATTTGAAATGGTTTCACGAGTTTAGGTTCCAATATCCAAGATACTTCTATAAACCTAACTAATATTTATTCCACTTTGTTTTAATCTCAAAAGAGTGAGTGGGAACACTTTTTCCTACCTTCGAATAATGTTAATCAGATAAATAGCATGTTTCGCCAAAATTCTTTTTGCCATAAATATTTTTATTTTAGGCAAATATTTTTTTTTCTCAAAATTAAGGTCTTTGACCAAACTTTTAGAAGAAATTCAATCGAAGCTGAAACAATTTTTGAAAAAATAGAAAAAAGTAGTTTCTCCCTAAAAGTATTTTTTATTGAAAAGCAGTTTTGAGAAAAATATACTTTAAAATACTTTTTAAAAGCTTGGTCAAATATTAATTGGTGCTCAAAAAATATTTTTTAAATTAATTAACCAAATATAAAATACTTCTCGCCAGCTACCAAAAATACTTTTTTGAAATTACCTTGCAAAATAAACTTATTTTAGAAGCGGGCTATAAATTATCTTCCATTCAAGAATTCAATATATCTTCTCTACTAAGACAATAATGTAGAAAACTATGGAACATGTTTTGCTGCAAGTTATAGCTGGAAGAAAGTTGCTTTCTTCACAAAGTAGAGTTAGATCAACAACCCTAATTATTCATGGTATACGGTCAAAACTGATTTCGGCCTTCGTACGTCTGATCGAGACGGGACCATAATGGACCGAAGAAAGTCTTCATAAAATCGAGATGGATCCAAAGATGGCACAAACGAGCTTCAGATTTCAGGTACAAGTTAAACACCGAGCTCGAAGTTATTATCGAGCTCGGGTCCGAATCGAACTATGATAAGATGTGATTGAATCGAGCTTAAGGGCCAGAGTCCAACCAATATCGAGCCCAAATCATTTTCGGACCCCGAGTCAACATCGACCTCAAACCCACATCGAACTCTAAAGCTGGAAACCAACCAATATCGACCGATACCGAGTCCGATCAGGATCGAGCTCATAGACAAGAGCCGTTGCAACCGCACTAAGGGAGAGAAGCTTGGCGGGAATTAGGAAAAAACTGATTTATCATGGGTTCCCCACTATGTATTTTTAATTATATCTAAAGTAGGGTTCCCCCACTATAAAAGGGATGGCAATATTCCTGTAAAGGACCAAGTTTTTGCTTACATTGTAACTTAAATATCATATACTCTCATACTGAAGAATTATCCTTTTTTAGCTTCATAGATGGACTTATCTTGCTTAATCCATAAATCATTCTCTTCTCAACTTTGTTTATTTTTCATTCTTTACAATCAATATTCGATATTTCCATTTATCCTTACGATTTGTGTCAAGTTATACCACATACCTTTAGAACTACGTATAAATTTAACTCTATCCATTTTTCAGGTAAACAGTTTGGCGTCCACCGTGGGACTTAGGATAACAGTGGTTATTTGGTACAAATTCGTAAAACACGCCATTTTATGCTTGTTTCCGGAAGTGTCTTTGATTTCGGATTAGCAACGACGAGCTATCAATTAAATGGCCTTACCTATCGACAACGACACTGGTCTTCAAGGTGAGAACAACAACTTGACACCTAGGACCGAAAGGCCGTTTGTCGACACCGTTGAAGCTCGAGTCGAAGTGCCATTAGACGTTAATCCGCATGTGGCCATTAAGGCAAACCTACATTCTGAACCTGAAAATAGCATTCATGGTAGCACTCGATCTGCAGCTCGAGATACCCATAACGTCGAAGAAAACGGCGTCAGCTTGCGCATGATTTACGAAATATTGCAAGCTCACCAGGCAGTAATAGCTCAGTTACAGAGTCAAACCCAGATACCGAGCAGGCCGGAGCCCAGTCCATCCCGAGAAATCGCCCACAGAACGGAACCAGCTATAGTAAGGTCAAATAAGCAAGAGTCGGGGACTAATCCCGAAATTGCTAAGATGTTCGAAGAACTGACCAAACGAATAGAATCATGTGAAAGGAGGATCGAGGCAAACGACAAAAAGGTGAAAATATATAACTCCAGGGTTGATCAGATCCCGAGGGCACCACCGATATTGAAGGGCTTAGATTCCAAAAAATTCGTACAAAAGCCTTTCCCTCCAAGCGCGACTCCTAAACCGATCCCAAAGAAATTTCGAATGCCCGAGATTCCTAAATATAACGGAACTACCGACCCCAAAGAACATGTCACCTCTTACACATGTTCCATCAAAGGGAACAACCTAGAGGATGATGAAATCGAATCGATATTATTGAAGAAATTCGGTGAAACCCTGTCAAATGGAGTAATGATATGGTATCATAATTTACCATCTAATTCTATCGATTATTTTGCTATGTTTGCAGATTCCTTCATAAAAGCACATGCCGGGGCCATAAAGGTCGAGACCAAAAAGTCGGACCTGTTTAAGGTAAGACAAAAGGATAACGAGATGCTAAGGGAGTTCGTATCTCATTTTCAAATGGAACGAATGGATCTGCCACCAATCACAAACGATTGGGCTGTTCAGGCTTTCACTCAAGGTTTGAACGAACGAAGTTCGACGGGTTCACGGCGGTTGAAGCATAAACTGATCGAGTACCCAGCTATTACTTGGGACGACGTTCATAATCGGTACCAATCAAAAATTAGAGTCGAAAACGATCAGTTGGGTTCTGAACCCGCTGCTAGAAGGGACATCAATCGAGAACAAGGTCCGATCAGGGACCGATACCGACCGTATAGTGGAAGTCACAGAATCAATGAATCGAGATGTAACCCCGGACAAGGCAACAAAAGAAGTGATCGAGGTCAAGGGTCACGGGGGATGATGAACAGAAATGGATTCGACAGGCCTACCGGACCTAAGGAAGCACCACAGTTATCGGAGTATAACTTCAGCATTGATGCATCTGCCATCGTGTCGGCTATCGTATGCATCAAAGACACTAAATGGCCTCGACCCATGCACACCGATCCTTCCCAGAGGAACCCCAATCAAATGTGTGAATATCATGGCAACCATGGCCACAGGACGGAAGATTGCAAGCAACTAAGAGAGGAGGTAGCCCGGTTATTCAATAAAGGGCACTTTCGAGAATATTTAAGCGACAAGGCCAAAAACCATTTCAAAAACAGAGATTTCAGCAAACAAAACGAACAGGAAGAACCACAACACATCATCAACATGATCATCGACGGCATCGATACCCCTCAAGGGTCGATGCATAAATCTAATAAGACATCGATTATGAGAGAAAAGCGACCTCGAACTCGGATTGCTCACCCATAGGAACCTTGTCCTTTAATGATGAAGATGCAGAAGGAGTCATGCATCTGCATAACGATGCGCTGGTAATATCCGTACTTATGAATAAAACTAAAATTAAGTGTGCGTTAATTGATCCAGGTAGCTCGGCCAACATTATTAGATCAAAGGATGTAGAACAGCTCAGTCTACAGGACCAGAACCCTGGTTCTAAACGAATTC